TGGGTTGCGCATGTGGCGAGACAAGGTGGGAACATTGTTATGCACGTGTGGCGAGATAAGGCGGGCACTTACTTTATTACTGCACACGTGGCAAGACAAGGTGGGTTGTGTCAGGGATTGAATTGTGATGATTTGTGTCCTGGGGGAATTCTTGTTGTTGATATTTGTGTAGTGGTATATGTACTTGTGTGAGCTTTATCTTGTGAAAGCTGTGAGAAAATATTTTACGTGATGTCCGTTTTTTTTTCTTATGCTTATTTGCTGATATGGACTATGGTAGGACACTTGCACAAGCATACACGTAGTTAAGCACTCTTATTGGATAAGAGGTGTTCTTGATATTGTTGAGCATAGATGCTCACCCTTATTTACTTGCCTTCTATGTGAGAATGGCTCTATTGGCACGTAAGTCGTCAGTGCAGTTATGAGGTGTTATGAGGGCACAGGATGCCAAGTGTTAGAGTTCAGGTATTGAGACCCGTGAGTTATGATTTGTCCGAGGTTCGGTACCTCGTGGAGTTGTTGACTAAAATCTAATGTAAAAGAAGTTGTAGTTGCTGAGTTATGACTTGTCCTTGCTGTATTTGTGATTCCGGATTTAGGTTGTGTTCCATTCACTTTGTCTGTGTCATTTTCATGATATTCCGTTGATACTTGTTGTTTCCTTCCTTATTGCCATTACTGTATTGTGAGCCATATTGCATAGTCTTTATGTAGACATCATACTTATGTTGTTCATATACCTATACCTGTTCAGTTTATTAGACCAGTGGGTGTCTTGATTGTTCCTCGTCACTACTCTACCGAGGTTAGTCTTGATACTTACTGGGCACCGCTGTGGTGTGCTCATTCTACACTTCTGCACATTTTTGTGCAGATCCAGGTACTTGTTCGTTAGCTAGTTGCGTGGACTGTTGCTGTGGAGACTCAAGGTAAACCTGCTGCTGCGTTCGCAAGCTTCGGAGTCACCTTCAAGTTTTCATTTTGCATTATTTATTCCTATTTCTGGACAGTTGTATTTAGAGGCATTCTAGCAAATACTCTGTAGAGCTCATGACTTGTACTACCAGTGTTGGAAATTGTAAGAGATTTCTATTTAAATAATGTTGTTGTTTCAATTAGTGTTAGGCTTACCTAGTCCCTAAGACTAGGTGC